TGATATACAAACATACTGACATGATATACAAACATACTGACATGATATACAAACATACTGACATGGACACATCCTCGGCCCAGTAGGAGCCTCAGTGACTCCGCCTCCTCAGACCGTTATATCTCAAGCCCTGCAGGACCTTCTAACAATGAATTATTCATTATTGTTATTATTGATTTTATTCTTATTATTGCTCTTCTTAGTATTATTATTATTATATATTTGTATATGATTAATGGTCATTCTTATCCTTTTCTCTACCCTTATACACACACACACACACACACACACACACACACACACACACATTAATACACACAAAGAAGCTTGCCATATTTTTACTTCAGTAATTATTCAATTTATGTCACAGTAACTGCAAGATGTTAATATTAAAATGAATATGACTATTTTATTATTTTATCCTTGGTTTATTAGGTTTGTAAATATATACCTCTTTCCTTTCCTGTGTCTATCATTGTTGTTCCTGTAAAGTTAATAATAATAATAATGGCATGCTGTAGAATGAGTTTTGCTTTTCCTGAATGCTGCAGGAGAAGCTTCCACTCTCTTCTCAAACAGGCACACTGGACCATAATGGAGAACATTAATATGTCTCATGCATTACTGCAGTCAAACACTGGAAATTGTATCGGCAAGATTACAGTGTAGGAAGAACTCTGTTTCTGCTTTTTGTGACGCAAGTGGATGAATCACTTGAGAAGCCTCTTAGTATCAACTCCAAGGCAACAGAATCATGTTCTGCAGCGTCACCACAGTCTGAAAAGCTTCTTTTTGTTTGACTGAAGTACCTGATATTTATACTAAAGCACCTGTTTGACATGTCAGTACCTCTAATTTGAATTCTATAGTTTACTTTTGGCTGTCAGGTTTCCCATCTATTTCACCATCACCTATATTTATATAGCAGCCTGTGAGTGTCCACGTGTAATGCTTTTATTTAGTCTACCTCACAATGTTATCAGTTTGTTTTATATTTGAATATTTACACATTTTCTACGTTTCTCTGTGAAGTAAATGTTATATATTTTTTAATTTGCTGTCTGCTTCGAATAAACGGATGCATCTTGAGATTCACAGCATCTATAATCAGCAGAGGACTACTGTACTTGTTTAATATGGTCATGGTCTCCAGAGGATTGTTCATAATGTTTCCGTTTCGGTCACGTTTACGTTTACAGCCCAGAATCATGACATTGTTTTCAGGGGTATTCTTCTATGTGCAGCACACGACACCATCTGTCTTTAGAACCTCGGTTCCAATAAGGAACAACTTTAAATGGAAGAACAACAGAGGAGAGATTGTACTGATGTATTCTGTGCATAGTGTCTCATGTACAGACAGAAGTATTAGTAGTACAATTACAGTATGGACATCAAGCATGTTCCAGGTGCCTTCAGGTTCTGGACCAAAAAAACCGTTGAAAGAGAGCAGATTAAAGATCATCCTATTATCACAAGCTGCTCTATCCTGTGCTGTTGTTTGGATCAGAACATGTGATCGTGAAACAAAGAATTAATAAAAAGCACATACTAACTCAACTTTCTCCGAAAATATATATATTCAACACTGAATATCTTAACTTACTGAGGAAATACTCAGTATTTTTCATTTGTTGAGTACTTAATTCACACAGGAGTATATAAAAACAACGTTACTTCAGGTAGACTATATCTTCATCACATTACCAGAAAACATGCTATTTTGTGATAAACATCGTTATCGCGATATAGAATTAGTGATTCATATATATTGACAACACATGATGCATGAACACGTATATGAACAAACACAGCAACCTTCAGGAGGACACATGAATGCTGTGATGCTCCCCAGAGGATGAACTCTTATTATCTGGGCACCTTCATTTCCTTTAGTGCCACCATCAGCAAAACATGTCAATCAATAAAATACTTCATTTATTTAGATTTATTCTATTATTAATAATGATGGTAATTATGTATTGCTGTTTGTTTGACAATAATGTATATCCTTTAACAACAACAACAACGTATATTTATTGCCAATACAGCTCAATGCATTGAATTGGGAGGGAGAGAGCCAGAGAGAGAGAGAGCCAGAGGGAGGGGGGGAGAGGGAGGGAGGTAGAGAGACCCTGGCGGACAGCAGCAGAGAGGGAGGTTGGACCGGGAACAATAGAGGGAGACGAAGCCAGCCCCTGAAACACCAAACAAACCGAGAGGGCGACAGAAAGAAAGCAGCCCGGCGAGGGGGGGATGGAGGGAGAGAGAGGTAAACGGAGAACATGTGAGGAATAAGAAACAAGACGCGAGGATTTTATTTTTTCCCCTTGGACCGGAGGGGGCTTTATTCCTGCCTTTCCTTTTGTCGGTGGATTGTATTGAACCGGATTCCGGTATGAACCCTGCAGAAGCGGCCGAGGAGGCGCCCAGCGACCCCGACACTGATGCCTTCTACAAAACAGGTAGGACGGACGAGCGGCTGCAAAACACGGCACACAATGAGAAACAATGTGCCACAAAAAAACAACAGAAAGAAGACGGAAGGAAAGCCACGATGAGAGAGAGAGTGGGTGAATGTCACCGGGAGAGAGAGGAGGCACCAAGCCGAGTGAGCAGCACCAGCAGAAATGTGCAGATAACCACCGGGAGTCTGGTGTGTGTGAGCTCTGCTGCTGTGTGCGAAGCCTCGGTCTAATTCACCCCAAAACACCACGACAAAACGCGCTCATGTGTGATGCTATTTGATGTTCTACATGCATTTACAGTGTGCTTGTGTGTGTGTGTGTGTGTGTGTGTGTGCGCGTGCAATACTGTGTGAGCTCGTGTGTCCGATGCTCTCTACAAAAGAAAGAGGAATCATGGAGGCATCAGATCAGCTCATGGAAGTCTGTCTGATATGCGACTAAATCACGATCTGCTGTATGGAGAGCTTTAATAAGCAAGCTGTGTGTGTGTACGTCTGTTTGTGTCATTGTGAGGGTAGGTGTGTGTGTGTGTGTGTGTGTGTGTGTGTGTGTCATACACTGATGCATTTAGATAAAAAGCAGCTGTTGACAGTTCTGATTTCCATTTCATCTAAAATGGTCAAAAGGTGAGAGACAGTGTGTGTGTATATGGATGTGTGAATGATATAATGAGTGTGTGTGTGTGTGACACTTCTCCAGAGCGTAATGGCTCAACACACAGCTGGCATCATTGATTAATCTCCTGGTCAATCAAGTCCTCAAACTGCTGATTCTGTCAGACCAACAATCCAAAAATCTGTGTTCTGCAGTGATAATGAAACGCAGATGAGAGCCGCCAGCGCTGTGCTAGAAGCTGAAACCAGATTATGTTTGACTTGTTGTGTTTTTTTTTTTTTTCATAATTTCTGCAACAATTAGCGGATTAATCAATTAGTATGGACAGCAGAGCATTCATCAGCAGCTACTCTGAGAAATGATTTAATTGTTTTAAAATGATTCATCATACAACACCACCAACTATTCTCTGGTTCCAGCTACTTGAACATGCTTCTCTTTGTCATATGACATTAGAAATTCAATATTTTTGGTGTTTTTTTTGTCAGTTGATCAGACAAAAAATTGTGCCGAGTGAAGGCATGAGAAAGTGTCTTAAGTGCATTCTCTCTAGTGTCCACCAGGGGGCGACTCCTCTGGTTGTATAGAAGTCTATGGGAAAATGACTCTACTTCTCTCTTGATTTATTACCTCAGTAAACATTGTAAACATGAGTTTATGGTCTCAATCTCTAGTTTCAAGTCTTCTTCAATACAGCATGATGTTCATTTAGTACATTATGGTCCATTTAGAGTCAAACAGACCATAAAGCAGGGGATGCTTTAGGGGCGGGGCTACACGGTGATTGACAGGTCTCTACCAGAGACTTAAACAGCGACTTCAAAACATCAGTCCACAAACCAATGATGTTACGATGTCTACAATAAAGGACGTAAACACAGTGATGTGATGTTCAATCAGGGTTATGTGAATTGAAGTTGTATTTCTGTGTGTGTGTGTGTGTGTGTGTGTGTGTGTGTGTGTGACAGAGAGAGGGACAGAAATGTGTAAGAATTATATCAAAATATGTTTTTATCAGTTTAGGACACACACACACACAGTGCTGGAGGGGGACACACCCTCACTCTGTCTCTGTCAGTGTAATTCAGTACAATAACTTTATCATGAACAGTCCTGCCAAGGTGCTTTATTAAATAAAAACACACACACACACTCTGTGAGACAGTGTGTGTATTGTATAAAGTAACAGGGCTCCATGTGTGATCTCCTCCTCTTTGGTTTTCTTCCCATAATATTAGATGACTGTCTGTTGGAACAGTTCCAGCGAATGGACATGGAAATCTACTGGTTGACTCATCAGGACAAACAATGAGGACAGTGTGCTGAGAGGAAAAAAACTAGTGTTATTCATTGAAATCTGGTCAAAAGGTGCGACGACTGTCGGAGGGAAGTGAAGTGTGAGTCCAGGAGAGAGATGATGGAAGAAACCAACCAGTTATCAAGTGGGACGCTGGTGCAGCTGACGGCGAGCTGACGTCCTGCTGCATTAAGTGTAGTGTTGCGTCTCCGCTTCTGATTCTCAACATGATAGAACTGATGCTGCGTTTGAGACAACTCGGACGTTTGAATTTTCCCCAACTGGAAATTTCCAGCTTCCGACCTTTTAAGCGTTCGAGATGCACGACCCTAAAACGTAAAGGAAAAAGGTTGTTTAACATAACCAGCTATCTAATCTCATATTTTTACATTAATAATATCCAGAACAGGTTTTTACTATCTGATAGTATGCATTATTTGAATTAAGCATCAGCAAATATACTCACTGTTGCGTCTTAGTTGATGGTTAACCATATAAAATACGCGCTTCCACTGTGACGTCAGACTACTGCTTCTCGGTGAAGTCGGGGGAGATAGGTTTGACTCGAGTTCACAGGTAGGAGCTTCCGCCTTTGAGTGGCGTTTCATTGTAGTCTTTTTAGTAGGAGGTCAGAGTTTCAAGTTGTCTGGAAAGCGGCACGAGTCTGACATCTTCTAAAGCCTCTGAGCCTCATGGGTAGTGTAGTTTTTATGTAGTGTCATGCAGCATTTCAAACTGAGGCAAAAAACATGATTTGTCAGAAAGGCAAATCACAAAACTTGTTTTTTAGTGTGAACAATATAGAGTTTCATTGCAGGGCTTCAACTAACAATTTTCACGAGTGTATGCACGTAAATACCATCAGTAATCAGTAAAGGCTTCATAAACGTGTTTCGTCTCATATCTGTAGAACTGATAATGTCTCCAACATTACTGAGATGTGCACGTATGACTTGCTTTAATCTGTGTTGTTTGCTTTGAGACAGAGGACACTTTGAGAAAGTGATCCACATACCAGAGTGACATTAGATGCTTTTTGTCCACAATAGAACAAAGCAAAGCTACCGGCACACATTCAAATGCACCGCTGTGTCTGAACAGCTGTGAGGGAGAAGCGGAGAGGAATCTGTCTCCATCGGCCGAACGTCGACTTCGACTTCAGCACAGAGGAAATTAGAGATGGCGCCGCACCGCTTCTTCATTTCCAAGAGCAATCCCAACTTATTGAGTATCTGCCAATACTGATACTTGTCTGATACGACGCCCGGCTGTTAATCAGCAGCTTGCGTGTTCCTGACATTGTCTCTTTTTTAGTAATTTGCCATTCATTGAACATCCCCTCCGCTGCTGCCATAATGGATTCCTCCTCGTGGAGCGCTGCTTTTCTGCAAAGCTGAATTCAGTCTACCAGCGTGCTGTCAGACTTAGTAATGACATACGTGGGAGCCTGATGCTGGTGCCTCTTGCTTTAGTGTTCAATCAAATTTCTGATATTGACAATTAACATCACATTACACACTTTTCATTCTGCTGTTGTGCTCTTTATTCTTTTTCCAGTTATTAAATTATTAACCAGGCGTCAACTTCCGGTTCGGGAAAGTGAAGCTAATAAATAAAGCTGCATTCTCTCTAATGTCCAGCAGGGGGCGACTCCTCTGGTTGTATAGAAGTCTATGAGAAAATGACTCTACTTCTCTCTTGATTTATTACCTCAGTAAACATTGTAAACATGAGTTTATGGTCTCAATCTCTAGTTTCAAGTCTTCTTCAATACAGCATGATGTTCATTTAGTACATTATGGTCCATTTAGAGTCAAACAGACCATAAAGCAGGGGATGCTTTAGGGGCGGGGCTAGCTTGGGTTTGTCTCAGAGTTCATGACAGTTAACTGTAACATTTCAGTTGCATAAAAATGTCTTGATCAGCATTCAGTTGTACTTCGCTCCACCCTCTCGAGTCACTTCTGCTTGGAAAAAACAAGATGGCACTGGCCAAAAACGAAATTGGCGACGGCCAGAATGATGGATTCAAGGCTTTAAAATGGTAGTCCTCAAATCACTTTGACTATTTCCACTTCTCTTATACAGTCTATTATGTCAACTAAACCTGGTAACACGTTTTGAAACCTACACTCCCCACACATATTTCCACCAATACACAGTTTCTTTTCTCAGTAAGGAGAGCTTTGAACATTGAATGAGTGAACTCAAAACATTGAACCATGCAAGTTTAAATGCTGCAATCTGTGCTATAAAGGCGAAGAAATGGCAAAAAAAAAGAACTGAATTTGTAAGAAATGGCGGATGGAGAGGCACTGTCAACAAGGACTGAAAGAGCAGGAGGAGAGAGATCTTCAGAAGAGGGAGGTCAACTGCTGCTGAGCTGCCGGCTCTGCACTGAAACACGATCGACTGGATTATTAAATCATTCTTGCTTGCAGCACGTCATTCGGCCCCTTTTTCAAATTAGTAGTCTTTGGGCTCACACATGCTACATCAAAAGCACCGATTCCAGCTATAAAAATTTAAATAATCTTGATGTAACGATGGTCAATGACTGTTTGTCAGAGGACAAAGAGCTGTGTATTGGCAATAATCTGGTGATAGAATACATATCATTATACAGCAATGAATTCATATTGTTTTGATATCAGGATTTGAGACTAGTGATGTAATGATACTGGTCTTTTCCTGGTTTTAAAGGCTGCATTACAGTAAAGTGATAGAATTGTTGGATCAGACTGTTCTAGCTGTTCTATTATTTGCCTTTAACCACTTTATAAACATTCTAGCCACATTACTGATGATGGTTTATCCAAAAAGTCAATGTGTGAACATTTTGTAGAAGCACCAATAGTCATCCCTACAATATCATCGCAATAAAGACCTTTGACAGAATGAACAGCTGTCTGGTCTTTGCATGTAAAATCTTGTGATGCTCAAGTGTATCTATATTTTCTTACACCCCTACTTCAACTCCACCGATGGTATGATTTTATCTATTGACTAAACTTCAGCGTAATGATCTCCCAGCCTCCGCAGACTGGTGGCTGATGGTATAATGTTAAGGTCTTCGTAGATTTAC